GCAGCTCCGCATCGACTGGCCCTGCTCCTCCGGCAGCTCAGCCCTCCCTGATGCCATCTCGGCCTTGAAGCAAGCGCTGGGCCGGTCCCCCTGTGCCGCAGTCTGTGAGCAGGTGCCGGGCGCAGCCGCACTGCCCAAGGATGTCATCTGTAAAGTGCACTTGAAGAGCTTCGTGGAGCAGCAGGGCTTGGTGGGCTATGACCCCAATCTAGATGTGCTTCTCGGTGAGCCTCACGTCTACAGCAGCTCTAATGTGACAGCAGAGGGTCACTGGCTGTAAACAGGCCTGTTTCCTCTTTTCCAATTGTTTTTACAGAAAATAAGGGGTATTTACATCCAAATTCTCTTTGCCTGTTATTCCCCTTCAGTCTGGTTTGAGCCAGAAATGCAGCCAGCCTGGGGCAGACCCGATGGGGCAGGATGGCGGGGGGTGAGAAGCCCTCGTGTCCCACTCTGAGTGTCCTTCCTTCTTTCAGTGACAGAGGGGAAGCTGCGGTCCCTGGCTGAGCTGCAGCAAGCTGTTCTGCAGTGCACGGTGAGTAATCCTGTGGCGCTGCCTGCCTCTCGCTTTCGAGACCTCATTTTCTTCTGTCATGCCATGGCGTGTGAGCTCCCTGCTGTGCTCTGCTGCAGGCTGAAGGCCAGGGGCAGTGCTGCAGCATTGTGCATGTGGTGAGCTGCGAGGAGGAATTCCAGCAGCAGCAGCTGGACCTGCTCTGGAGGATTTTGGATCCAGGAGCCCACACAGCTTTGCAGGTCAGGAGCCTCCCACACTCCTCACTGTGGCCCCCAGCATCTTTGCGCTCAGCCATCCTCCTACAATCCCTACAGCAAATGCTGATGCGCAGCCTTGTCCCTTGTGAGGCTTCCTTTTCCCTTGGTGGCCCCTCCATGCTCTTGCCCGGGAGGTGGAGCAGCCTCTCTGCCCTTGAGATTTCAGTGCTCAAGAAGGAGGGGCAGGATATGACTGTCGGGACACAGCTAGAACAGCTGGTTTTAGCCCGGTTCTCCTGCACTGCCTTTTGGTGGAGCTTCTGAGTCTTTAACCCCAGTTCTGGCCTCACCTCTCTCTTTCAGAAACACCTTGTCTGTGGGCCAGTTAAGGTGACAAACCCCTCATCACCCATTGGTGCAGACCAGTACTTCCAGTAAGTTGGTGTGTAGCAAGGTGGCCGCTGTGCTGCTCGCCTGCCAAGGTTTGCCTGTGCTCTGCCCGGCCCCGTGGGCACCCAGGCAGCCATGCTGCAGTGCTGAGTGAGCTGTGGCACATGGAGAGTTCTGTGCAGCCCCTCCATTCTGCTTTTCCATGGTCTCAGGGCTGCTTTGAGAAGACTGGAGGTGCAGAATGGAGCCACAGGGCCCTCCCCGGTCCCAGTGGCCTCCTCCAGCAGTGCTGCTTCTGGCCTCTTCCGTGCTGCCAGGAGGAAAGGCAGCAGCAGGAGCTGGGCACTGCGGTGGTGCAGGGTGGTATTTCCCTGCCTTCACACATTAGTGGACAGCCCTGGCACAGGGGTGGCCCTTTCTCAGACAAAAGGCATAACCCATGCCTGGCTCAGTGGCTTCCTCACAGCCCTCTCCAGGCAGTGGCACAAGGGGCTGGCCACGGTACGGCTGTCCCTGCCCGGCTTCTGGAGGTTTTGTGTCATTTTTGCTTGGCTGGGTCGCTGCTGCAGCTGCAGTGCCCCGAGCAGCCCAAAGGCTGGAGGAGTCCTGGGGGGCTCTCTGGAGCGAGCTCAGCCCAGGGGTGGTGGCTGTGACTGTCTGTGTTTCTCCCAGGCTCCGAAAGCGCCAGATGTATGAAGCCTCCGTGATGAAGTATGGGGAGCTTGCGCAAGGTGAGGGTTTGCTTTGTGGCTCTGCACAGTACTGCTCCATCCCCATCTCTGCTACTGCCATGTGTCTCCCCGCCCCAACCTCTGGGTTTGCAGCCAGCGGGGCTCTCTCCAACACAGTGCTCCCGATCCCCTCCGCGATGGAGCCAAGCGCTGACCTTGCTTGGGGGAAGGCATCTAAACTGCCATGCAGGGCACCCGCAGACAGGGGCCAGGGCTGGGGAAGTGCAGTGGTCTCCAGCTTCCACCAGAGCCCCCTGGCCCCAGTGGGGGTTCCTGCCTAGGCGCTGGGGGTGACATCACATGGGAATAGAGTGAGTTGTGCGTGATGCCACCTGCGTTCTCCACAGACGAGGCCTGGACTGAGGTGATTGATACCCTCACAGTGGCTGCCATCAGGTTTGAGATGCTGAGCACTGCCCACCGGAGTCAGGTAGGACAGCAGTTTGTGCAGAGCGGAGGCAGGTGAGCCGTGGGAATACCCAGAGCAGCAGCCTGGACTGCAACTTCTCCCTGCCCTCAGATCACCCTTGACCTGGAGGACAGCAGCATCTCCACCAAGGGAACCAAGAGCGGTGCCTTTGTGATGTACAACTGTGCGCGGTTGGCCACGCTTTTTGACACCTACCAGCGGGCTGTGGAGCGGGGTGAGTATCAGCCCCATGACCCTCCTCTAACAGCTGCTCCTGGGCTGTTCCTCATGCCTGGAGCCACGGGGGCTTCTCTGGGCACAACAGTCTCCCACCTCCTTTCCAGGCACGTACCCCTCTCTGCCACCAGCGTCAGACCTGAACTTCTCCTGCCTCCGGGAAGAGGTGAGCACTAAGAAGGGGAATGCAGAGACCTGTGTGCCCTCAGCTCCAGTGATGGATGCTGCTGGCCCAGGAGGATCTGGCCCTCTCCAACCCAGGTAATCTTTTCACAGGGCGAGTGGCTCCTCCTCTTCAACTATCTTCTGCCTTTCCCTGAAGTCCTGCAGCAGGCAGCACAGCTGCCCTCATCCAGCAAGGGGATCCGGATCACAGCCAACACAGAGACCGTAAGTGCCATGTGCCAGAGCACCCATGGGTGCTGCTCCAGCAGTCCCAGCCCAGAGCAAAGCTACGCGCTGTCAGGGTGCTGCCCACTGGTGAGCGACACAGGGGCAGCGCCGAGGGAAGAGACCGCAACACTCCTGAGGCTGCTTGTGCATTGCTTGGGGTGGGGAAGGGCGCAAGATGGGCCAGACCCTGCCGTGGCAGCAGAAGCTCTGTCTTGCAGGTATGCAAGTTCCTGATCCAGCTCAGCATGGATTTCAGCTCCTACTACAACCGGGTCCACATCCTGGGGGTGAGTCGGCTGTCCTGGGCTGTTTGCTGGAGGGTTCCTGCCCTACAGTCCTCCCCGGGGCTGGACTGCAGTTGTGGTGCTTTGTGGTGCCAGTGGCGCGATGCAGCCCGGCACCAGCCCCTCGAGGTGTGGAGGGTCACCACACACAGGGTGTGGAGGCAGTAGCGCCTCTAGGGTCAGCCTGTCAAGGGGAAATATGGCCACCAGCCCCATGTCGCTGCCTTTCTCCCTGCAGGAGCCATTCCCTCACCTCTTTGACCAGATGTTTGCCAGGCTCCGGCTGCTGGGAGCAGTGAGGGACATGTTCCACAGTGCCCTGGCAACGCTGCACCTCCCTCCTCTCAGCCAGATCTGAGCCACCACTGAAAAGGAAGTGACGGGCACCAGGACAATGTGCCACAAGGGGAAGGACAAAGCATGTCCTCCCTCGCAGGGCAAGGAGTTGCCCCACAGTTGGGGACAGAGCCAGGGGACAACTCAGCCCTATGCAGATGCTTTCCCTCTCAACGTCCATGAATTCTGAGGGTTTGGCTACATGCACCCTGCGGCTGTGCCCAGTGTAGGAGATATGTGCGTCTGCCATATCAACACCAGCAGCACCCTGCAAGCTGCGCTGGGGAATACTGGGGGAGGCAGCACTGGGGACCAGTCACCACAAAGCCAGGCACCAACCTCGCATCCCTCAAAACCGTTTATTGAAGGTTGCTCTGTGCTGGCAGGGAGCTCTCAAGGCTCCCACTGGGCCATGGGCCAGGCCCTGATACTGGGGTCCAATACATTTGTTGCTGGACAAACGTTGTGTGTGTCTGACCCCAACGCGGCTGGGGCCACGTGCAGCTTCTTGTGCCAGGTCCTGCTGCTGCGCAGAACAACCCGCTTGGCTTGAGGCAGCACTGAAAGGCTGCTCCGAGGGGTGGGTGGGGGTTTGGCCCGGCACAGCACACCTTGGACTGCTGCCCCTCACCCTGCAGAGTGCTGCTGTGTAGGATCAGTGTCCCCACTCACTTCAGTACAGTCCCCAGCGCTGCAGGGACAGTGCTGTCACACAGGGTGAGGAACACAAGGCTGCAGTCTGCCACACGCCACACCAGCACCTGGCTGCTCTTGGCCTCCTGATGCCCTCAAGCTCCCAGGGCTGGGCACGGTGGCTCAGTGTCCCCCCAAGCAGGTTCCTCTCTGCCACCAGGGCTGGAAAGCCTGGACATGGGTCCCTCACACCTTAGGGAGGAGGAACCTCTCCTGGTCAGGGTGGGCTGATGACCCCACACCTCCTTTATTGCCTGGGGAGCCGCAAGCTGGTCCAGGATGGGCCACAGCTGCCTTTTTCCCTGAGAACACCAGCCTTGCACACTCCAGACATGGCTGTGCTGTCCCCAAAGGGGCCAAGCACACCTATCCCCTCAAGAGGGGACACATCAGCACGCAGGCTGGGACAGGGGCAGGGTGCCCTCCCCAAGCAGGCAGGGAGTGGGATGTGCTGCATGCCTGCCCCATTACTGGGGAGCCTCTGGTGCGGGGGGCTCAGGGGGGGCTGTGCCACGCAGCATCTCCAGCCCCTGCCCGCAGAGCACGCAGTAGTAGTGCAGGTCCCCCCCGGCCTCCCTCACCTCCCAGCAGTCCAGCTCAGCCAGGTCAGGCACATGGAAGAAGGTGGTGCTGAGGGCATCCAGCCCACCTGGGCCCCAGGATCCCGGTCAGGTGGGCAGCGTGGGCGCAGGGCCTGGCCACCCGTTCCAGGACACGCAGGCAGGTCCCCACCGCAGCCTCACCCCTGCTCAGGGCCACCTCCAGCAGGCAGGCATGGATGGAGCCGTCGTCGCTGCCCCTGGCCACCAGGTACTGTCCCTCTGGCGTCTCACGGACGTGGAGGCTGTTCACGCCACAGCTGTGGGCCATGACGGTGAGCAGTGGGGCACCCAGGGCTGGGAAAACAGACTTGGTCAGGAGAGCGATGCTCACCTTGACCAGAGGGAGCAGAAGAGCCACCAGCGCGGCCTCCCTTGGGAGGCAGAGCAGAGCCACCAGCAGCTGCACCCACCCAGGGGCTGCATCTCTCCCTCCGCTCGGTGCAGGGCGTCCGCCGCATCTGCAATCGTGCTGGTGATGTCCCAGAAGGCAATGCTGCCGTCGGTGGCCGCGCTGCACAGGAGATGCCTCCTAGAAGGGAGGTGTTGGGGGAACCTCCAGCCGCAGCCCTGCTGCGGTAAGCAGCCCCGAGGGTCCCCATGGAGATCTGGGGAAGCAGCAGAATTGCCGCCGCGGACAGAGTTCTCCCTTCCCTCTGCCCGCTGAGCTGCTGTCCTGTGAGGACAAATGCTTCCCCCCCAGCAGCTGCAGCACAGCATTTGGGGCTCACCTCTCCCATCCGACCCGTGCGTGCAGGAACGCTTCCACCTTCAGCACACAGCGCTGGTGGTGAAATGACTCTGCCACCAGCACCAGCTTCCGGGCAGCCTCCAGAAGCCCAAAGACCCTGTGATGGAGGCAAAGGGCAGTCAGCCGTGGGAGAAGAGGGCTCTTGGTGCCTCTGCGCCCACTTCCCACCATGTGCCGTCCCGGTCCTGGCTCAGAGCTGGCCACCTCCACAGCCGCAGTCTCCCCTACTCCCGTCACCAGCCCCAGCTCCCCTCTCCCTGCCAGACCCCAGGATGGCTCCTCACCGGACCGATCCATCGCTGCAGGCAGCAGCCAGGAACTTCCAGGGTGTCAGCAGCTTCTCAGTGCTGGTCCCGGGTATGACCGAGAGGGACATGTACCTGCAGCAAACACAGGATGCTCACCAATGCCTTGGTGACGCCTGTGGCTCTTGGGAGGCGGGTGGCCCAGCAGAGCAGCCCAAGCCCAGAGCAAGACACAGCTCCAAGCACTTGGAGGAGGCACAAGGAAAGACTGAGCCTTTCCCTAACCCCAAAAGCCCCTTGAGGCCCAGTGACTGGGCACAGGACACCAGGAAAGAAAGCCACACTGACTCCTCCTGCCTCTGCTGAGCCCACAGCTGCACAGAGTGGGTATCCCATTGTGGTTCCCAGCACCCTCCCAGACTGTGGTCACTGCTACCCCTGCCTTGGGCAGTCCCTGAGCATCACCTCGTCTCTGGGTCCATCTTGACAAGCTTGTGCCTGTTCTTCTTCCGCTCCCAGTGCTCGTCCAGCCGGTGGGAGGCCACATGGATGACCTGGCAGGCCACAGTGCTCTCAGAGGCTGGGTCCCCAGCACACAGCAGCCGGTAGCACTCGATCTGGGCCCGGCCGCCCGCAGAGAAGAGCAGGGCAGACAAGCCCTCGTCACCAAAACCCTCATCACCAGGTCCCGCAGGGCCGGCCAGCGCCAGCGCCCTCACACTGGAAATATGGTCACTGAGCCGGGCGAGCGGCACAGCTGCCTGGGAACGCTCACTGAGTGCCAGGACGCAGGCCGTGGTGTCCTCGCTGCCGGTGACAAAGACATTAAGGGTGGCGTGGCCGGGCACCTCCACCGCCCCCAGGCGCCTCACGCAGGCGATCTCCCGCCCATGCAGAGACGCCAGGAGCACCTGCTGCTCACAGGGCTTGGCCTCGCGGTGGTACAGCATCACGTCCCCAGACTTGATGAAGGCAAAGGACTCGGCCGAGGGGCTGCTCCAGTAGCTCCAGGAGCGGTGCCCCCCGCCGCAGGGGATGCAGTGAAGGTTCTCGCTGGTCCTGCTGCTCCACACAACAAAGTTGTCAGCGTGAAAGCCCAACACAAGCAGGTCCCCGTCAGGGGTGAAGCGCAGCTCCTCGATCCACTGCAGCCCTTTGCAGGGCCTGTGCTTCCGCAGGACCTCCAGCTGCTGGCCCTGCAGGCGGAGCTGGCGGTAGACTCCGTCCCGGCCGGTGCTATAGATGTAGCCCCCGTGGCAGGTCACTGAAGTAACCCCCATCTTCCCATGGAGCCCAAAGAGCATGGAAACCGGAGCCTCAAGGGGAAGAGCCCCTTTGCGTGACAAGCAAGAGGGCTCTGTGTCACTGCCAGCATCCTCGCTGACTGGGTCGGTGCCACCATTGGCAATGCTGGTGCTTTCCGCATCCCCCCCTGGGGAGCTGCCGCAAGGGAAG